GGAAAATCCACAATAAAGTATAATATTGTATCGTATAATATAATAGAAGTTAATACAGTATATATAGGGTTATAATGGGATAATGGCCTAAACCCTTGTGGCAGGCAGAGGAAGGATGAGAGAGCCCAGCTGGGTAGGTATTCCATAGGGATAATGAAAATAGAATGGAAACATATAGGGATCATATACCTAGGGTTTATATAGGGATAACGGAAAAGAAAATGGAAGCTATAGGGAGGCCTGGTTTGCAGCGCGAACATCTTCCAAGAGCGTTTTAGGGTTTGTAGGGATCCAAAAGATAATTGGGAGTGATGCCCTTGTTTTCAAGGCGCAGACACCTGTGCTATCCATCCTACTTTGAGCTAACATGAAACCCTGCATGTTGAGCTCCTCTTTGAAAGGATCAAGGCCCATTTTGGGAGGGTAGCTGATGTATTGCTTCTGAATCTGCGGTAATGCAGAAGTTCTTGTGCCTGGGAGAGGAGCCATGAAAAGTTGGTATCTCTAGTAAACACCTCAGGAAGCATAACAGGGGGCTTTAAGGCCCTATTCTCAAGCCGGAGAGCCTAAAATCAAGGACGCCAACTGCTCCAGAACCTGAACTCCAGCATCCAATATGCAAGGAGAAGTCCCCCAGACCTCATGGAGTCTCTTTGAAATCTCAGACATTATCCGCTGAAACCCTGGAAGTTAACTGCTCATGATGGTTCACAACGGACAACATGGCAGCCAAGTTCGCCGCAGGCGTAGCTGCACCGATGCATCGTGTCCTGGGCTGCGAAGCGGTGACAAAAGTGTCGCGCAGGCTTCTTTTGACAGAGTGACGTAAAGTCGGCGTGCTCTTTAGTTGGAACAGAAGAGGTTAAAGTTCGAGGCCTTGGCCGCAGGCCTCAAATGCCTAGGGTCTAGGGCCTAGGACAAGAACAGGCAGCTGGAGCGCAGGTTTTTGTGTTGTTCTGCTCCTTTGCCTTGATGGGGCTCGGCAAGGCCAGACCAGGTAATCCACAACAAAAACCCTAATGCGATCCTTCCGGCAAGCCATTCTTGTTTGACGGGTGCTGCAGGGCGAGCGGGGGAGCAAATACAGGGTTTTTGGTGGGGCTCCCACCCCTCACTATCTCCTAGGCATCCGCGAGTCATTGAAGGCGCGTTGCTTTACGAACCTTTGGGTATTAGGTTCAGTGGGCCGCAGAGGCTTCTTGAGCTCAAGTGACGTGTCATAGCCTTTCGAATCCGAAACTGCCTCCTTGTCTTACTGCATGTTTAGGTTCTGGGGCTTTGAGGCTAGTTCACAATGACAATTTCCTTTTGAGATGGAAAGTGCAAGGTCTTCAGACCTATGTTTCCTCACACTCTACCCAGACCCTGTTCTGCATATTAGAATCCCTTCACAAAAACGATAGCAAACCCAACAAGGAACCACATAGGAGCCCTTGGGTGCATTTAATGGGGCAAACCAGGCAAGAGTCGAAAAGGAGGGGAGCTTTCACTACACTGTGCAAGCTAGCAAAGTGAGATTCAAGCCCGTGGTCTTCAACCTGAAATCCCAGCCTCTGCGGGGTGTTGCCGGAGTTACGGTCCCCAAGATGGGCTTATGCGAAGAGAGCAGCTGCTTGTGTCAAATTCGCAGATCCAGGAGCCCATACACTTCAAAGTCAAAGAAGCCTTGAAATTTGGGGCATAGGGAACCCAATGTCTCCAGCTGAATCCAGGATCTGGAACAAAAAATGGGTTCTGACATCTTCCTCAGTGATGGATGCTTTCCATGGTATTGTTTGTCATTTTCGATGGTCAGATACATCTGACATTTTTGTTGCCATCACATGTACACCACCCAAAGTTCCGGCAAAGCTCAACAACAACTGGGTTGCTGTTAAGGAACTTAGCTGAAGTTATTATATGGGTGAAACCCTATTGACACATATATATGTATATATACCATACCCATAAGTATGCAGACTTTTCTTCGCCGAGGATGGGCGACTACGATTTGCAGCAGCTGAGACCATGCTTAGAGGTCATTGAACTCATGCGTCTTGAAGTTTTCTGAGGGTTCAGAGCGCCCATTCTTCAAGCAGCACGTTTTATGAGTTTGGGAGGATCTTTAAGGGACGGCTGTTCTTTGGCGGAAGGGATCCTGGTGATCTTTGGAACGTTGGGAAGCAGAATCCATAAGGGTAGGAGGTAATTATAGAATTCCTAAAGCTGTGGGCAATTGGCGGGTTACACGCGCAATGCAAACCTCGACCCTAAACCCAGAACCAAGACCAAAGGGCTTTGGGATCATGATGCGTAAGTTGGCCGAAACCCAAAACCTGTCAGAAGCGCCCTTTCAAGTTCAACTTTGGGACAGTAGTCCTCAAATCGTCCTCAAATCGTATGCGGTCGGAGAAGTTGTTTGTTCTATTTCTGTTTGATGAGCGTGTATCCGGTTCGGTGACTATTTATTTTCCTGGGCTGTCCATTTCCGGGGAGCATACAGAACCAAAGCTAGCTTTCATTTACTTGTAATAGGTGCTTACACATACATATCTAATATCGTTTAGAAGCTGAAGAGACGTGGCGCATAGTCTTCACCATCCTAGCTCGGGTTGCCCTCTAAGCCCTAAACCCTAAACCCCCAAACCGCTAACCCTAAACCCCTCCTAAACCCTAAGCTGAAAACCATCCCAATGCCTCTGAGAGGGACGCATACTGCAAAAAGCTTGAACCCATCCACCGGCCGATTGTCTTCTATCAATCATCCCTCCACACCAGTTCCGACATTGTAGTAGGAGATTGATTTAACCGCATGAGCTACACGCCAAGTCTTGGGCTTTTGTCAACACTTCCCTGACCTTGGCTCTGTTCTGTGACGGTCGGGCGTGAGCGAGGGGGATAGAGTTAGGGTTGAGGGATTACGTAGGGTTAGTCACGACCTCAAGCCACTCACTTGGCAGTGTTGCAGACGGTTCTTGAGGGTAAGACGACACTAAGCTAGAGGCGCTTATTCACCTTCACGCGGCTTTTTGTCCCGGTGAAAGGTGGACATTTATTCATACACACGTACACCATGCTACACCCTAAGCGGCAAGCCCGAAAAAAGCCTCTGACCTCGCAGCCCTGCAAACTGGGTTGCTGTTAAGGAACTTAAAATCGGTCAAAATAACAAGGAAACCGTATTACTTACGCTATACCCAAAGTATGGAAATCTAATTTAATACCCTAAACCCATTATGGACATCTAATTTAAAGTCCTCAACGGCTCTCAAGCCAAAGTCCGCGCAGGCCTTGGGGATTTGGATCTACAGCATCGAGGAGTGGTCCGAGGTAGGTGACAAGTTCCTTCAGGATGCGGTGCTTCTCAGACCCCCAAAAGTCGCGAAACTTCATGACCTGCCTGACATCCCCGACCTAAATTGAATAATACCTGTTTAGTAGGTAAACGCCACAAAGCTGTAGGAAATTGGGTTGTTCGCAAACTCGCAAACACTAACCCAAAATGTGTGGTGAGACGCTGGGAGTCATATCCTGGCGGTTTGAGGATGTTGTTTTCAGTCTTTTGGGTGTTTCATGTCTACCTAGACCTCACGGATACCTTAGGAGGACCTCCTCCAACGCGTACGTTGCCTCCTCAATGCGAAGCTTAGTATGTGGGGTTGCATGGGCTGACAAAATGGAATCTCCACCATGTTCAGTTATGTTGTATCTCATGACTAGGAAGGCAACCTTTTATTGGGGTCTGGGCTCTGTGCCTGTCCGCTTAGTGTTGCCTTAGGGTTTGCAGTGCTCTTCTCGGGGTCCGCCCGTTTCGCTCATGGTTTAGGGGCAGAGGCGAAGCGATTTCAGGTGTAGGTGTATTTTTTTGTTTTTGAGCGTGTATCCGTTTACGACACATGTGCGAGCAAATCTCCAACAGGAAGAATCTGACTAAGTGAGATCTCGACCGGATCAGGAAACCATCGGACCATCGTCATGCATGCAATATAGCACGGTCAATTCCATGATGCGAATCCGAGTAGCAACTGTTGTGAGCTGTTCTTTGGGTCTGACACGTGAGAGATGAGCGTCAAGAAACATGGAGCCCAAGTCATCTTCAACACCCCACCCAGAGGATGAGGTGAACGCATTACTTCTTAGCTTGCATTTGAGCCTCGCGGAGATGGATCAGCTTGGATGCGTTTCGAGCAATCTTGTGTTTCCTGCGATTGCGATTGCCATCGGAAGCGCGCATTGGCATTTTCTAGGGGAACACGTCCTGGGTGGGCTCCAAGCCGCCTACAGCCATCTGTCCACGACACAGCAAGAAGCGTCTGCAAACTGTTCGGGCGACTGTGTATCTCAGCGGCTTGCAAAAATCAGAGCATTCAACTACAGCACTGCGTCTCTAATGGGCATACATTTCGCACTGTTGGTGGCATTGGAGCGCATATTCCGATTTCTTCGAGAGCCCTGCATTGCAAACACGCTGCCAATCCTTGTGGTGCTGTTGCTGGGATATCTCCCTGACGCAACTGCGATCTGTTGGCGTGCGCAGCTGACAAACAATACCTTGACACGTCTCAGCTTCCTGCTCTGCAGTTTCTTTCATACGTACTGCCTTGCATGCGTTGCAGAGACTAGCAGCGCGATGGACCATATATCGATGCTCAGCCTGATGACAACAGGTCACGTGCTTGCTGGGCTCGTCTTTCTCAATGCTCGGATGTGGATTCCATCCACTACTGTGCTGTTTGTTAGCCAGCTTGCCGTTTTTCTGCTTAAGTTCGGGTATGACGAAGTCAGCCCGACATTCCTTCTAAACTATTTTCAGCAATTGTTGCAAAGCTGCACCATCCTCGCAGTGGTGGAGATTGGCATATGTGCCCACCTCAAGTTGGAAAGTGATTCTCGGTCACCCAAGTGTACCCTTTTCACTTTGTCGATGTCCTGGTTCCAAATACACACTCGGTACCCCAAGAGAAATGCACTTGTCAGGGGTGGGCTACTGCAAGACCTAGGACAACAAAGATCATCAAGCGATGATGGTCGGTTTCCAAAAGATCTTAAAGGGGCTCTGCGACGGCTGCCTTCTTCTGGACCAGGAGATGACGGTGCGTGGGCGTGCTTCTCAATCCTGTTTGCAGCGTCTACTCTCCACCCGGAAGAGCTTTGAGGGAACTGACTTCAGAACGCTGATTGCTTACCGAGAAGACAAGAAGAACTTTGCCACCCTTGTGGGTGCATCCGGTACATCATCCGACGACGCTGACGATTCACCGCCTCCATGTTTGCGGATCAGCATGTCAGAAGCTGCCCAGGTTGCATCAGTGGATGTCTTTCATGCTGTTTTGCCAGGCCTCCTCAGGGTCTAGGTTCCCAGGGGTATGGGGGCTTTGGGGCCCACGGGTTTTGGAGTGCAGGATTTAGGGCGCCCAGGGGTACAGCCACTCCGATGATTAGGGTTTACAGTGTTGCCAGGCCTTTTTGGTGCGGAGCGACATCACATCCTAGCGTTTGTCGAGGACACTGCCGGGCGCCAGGCTCCACTTGCCACCCATGGTACCCCAGACTCTGATCAAATCCGAGGTGGAAGACCCCTGGACTATACTTGCAACACTTCCCATTTTTCTTGTAGAGTCCTAAAGGATTCTTAAGCCTAAACGTGTTGCGCTTGTAGTGGTTCTATATAAGGGATCGACAAAGGTTTCAAGCCCTGCCACGCAAGTCAGGCGTCCCCTCGAGGGAGTCGGAAGCTGCCTCGTCATCAGGCGCACGAAGCAATGAGGTCCTGGAGGTCTTGCAAAATTTGATGGAAGCCACGTTTCTCATCGACCCCTGCTCCCCAAACGCAGATCTCTTGGAGGCTCACCTGAAGTTCCACAGAATGCATTCTGTACAGCAGCCACCTTCGATGAGGATGCTAAGCAAGATTGATGCATGGGACGATCTGCAGAGGCTGCTGACAACCTATGCCGTGCGCGTGCTGCAGGGGGCTCCTCCTGACTTGCCAGCGGCGTTGCGGGCCATGCAGCTACGAGTTCCTGGAGCTCCCCGGAAGCTGCTCAAAGCCAACCAAGTACGGCTGAGCGTTGCAAACCGCAGCCGGGAGTTCGGGCAACCAATCTTTTTGTACCTCCACTTGAAGAGCTTCAACAAGAAGTATGCGCGGCCAAGCTATATTACCAACCTGCAGAGCAAAGTGCTCCCGGAGCAGCTGGAAGATGATGCTAGTGAGGATTCAGAGCAGCCGCACAATGTTTCGGCTGAGGACACAGAGTCTCACGCTGCAGATAGCCATTTAGATGAAATTCCTGTGTCGCAATGTCTGCCAGCAGGTGTTCGTGTGGTTGGCCCACTTTGTAGCTTTTGATGCAGCCAGGCAGCACGGCAGCACTGAAGCTTGAATTTCTGGGAAACATTTGGCAGAATGCCATCCCATGAGAAGAACTGCTTGCATGCTGAAAAGGGCTACAGCCAAGTGTGGCTATTTGGCGCTCACCCCAAACCCTCAACCCTTGGCCCGGTGTCCGTTTCTGTAGTCCACCTTGCAATAGTGGTATTATAGGCACGTAACAGGACCTTCATACAGTCCTTTTTATCCCTTATAGTCACTATTACAGGGAGGGGTTCCACCTAACGAATACCCATGATGACCTTAACCCCGCAAAATTGGCACAGAGGCCGGCTGTTATTATAAGTATGTGGGAGGTGTAGGTAGGGTTGGCCTTGGTACGTGAAGGGCATGCGCGATGCCTTCTTGAAAAGTGACAGTGAGGTACGAGAAAGAATACAGTAGTTGAAACAATCGCAGTTCTCGTAATTGTAGGGGTAGGCAGGAGCTGCACGTAGTAGTAGGAGCAGCGGCAGCAGCAGCAGCAGCAGCAGCAGTCGCCGTAGTCCTCGCCGTAGTATACTAGATAGGGGGAAAATTGTACTAATTTTAGGTTTTAGTAGTTTCCAGGCTGGGTGATTAATGCGCAGGCTTCCACAACCTTCTCCTGAAGCTGTCATTGACTTGCAGTGGAGGGTAGATGCGCCTTGCAACCCCAACCCCGGCACATGAGTCGCCGCATGAGCCTCAGCCTTAAAACGGAAGAGTGTTGAAATGCCAGGTCGAGAAAATTTTCACGGCAACGCCCAATGAGCCGCCATGCCCTCGCGCGGATTTGCAGGTTAGGTGAAGGGCTTTGGTCTGAGGCTTGTGGCTGAATGAATGGCCCCCTGGGCTACATTAAAGTTGAGCTGGCAACGCAGAGGCAGCCAGAACAAAATGTGTAATGTGTGTTGCCCAATTCCTGCATAGTGATCCAAATCTGAAAGGGGAGGTAGTTGTTTTGGGAGCACTCATTTGTTTGTTTCGAGCGTTTTGTGTTTTATGTGCGTGTTTGTGAGTTGCTGAGAGAGCCTGACCTGGGAGTTCAGCTTATTAAGTTCCACGGTACGGCAGATTTTTGTTGGATTTCCATTTCTTCTAGCCCGAATGGTACAAGGACCCAAATAGGCTCTCAGGTACCGCCAAGCATTCAGAATCTAGAATTTGCGACCTAAAGCACAATATGTGGGTGCTTGGATTGGGATGAAGGCTCTCGAGGCCGAGAGTAGCTTCATCTGGAAAATCTGCATGCTACAACAGGGGTGCTCACACTGAACGTAGATTCACCCTACAACTGGCTCCGCTCAGTACACTCAGAAACCGATCTTTCATTCTCGGACGCTCCCATATTCTGGTCTTATGACTCGAAGTGCAGGCGCTGCCGGGGGAAGCAAGACACTTCTTCCAACCTCCACTGAGCATTTTCTTTGGGGGATGCGTCAAACTTTTCTATAGCCCAGGGTTTTCTTGGAACCGGCATAAGCATTTCTTCGCTATGTTGTGGCTTTCAACGCGATAGGCCAGCACCCAGAGACCAACAAAAAATAGCTCTGTCGTGCCGCCCAACTTCTCCAGTACTACACGGGTTCTAGGGTTGAGGGTTTTAGGGCTTTAGGGTTCTACGGCTTAGGGCTTTAGGGCTTAGGGTTTAGGGTCAGCAGGTTGCTGGCCCGCAAATTAGACAAGGACAAACCTTGAGTTCCTTACGCAGGCCTATACCTAGATTGCCGCTGAGAAACTTGAATTGGCATAAATCGCTGCCCCCCCTAATTAATTAATATTGAATAGATCCCCCAGGAATATAGCACAGCAAAGAGTAAGGGCTTTATTGGAAAGAATTAGACTGGTTTGCCTCAAATTTGAATCCGAAATGTGACTAAAAGGAATCGGAGTTTGATTCAAAATTGCTGAAAATGCAGTGAAACCTTTTAGAGCTTCAACAAAATCATTTGAACTCAAATTTCTATGCAATTAAAATCGGATGAATATTCGGATGATACCTATCTACAACCCAGTGAAAATCATGCTAAAATCTAGTGGAATCCAAGAAAAGGGAATCCCTAATCCTGTTTGATTCCGTTTCATTCTTTATACCCCGCTTGTGACACAGAACCCATTCAAAATCGTTCTAAGGTGCCATGGTGAAACCGCTTTAAGGTGGCACCGTTTAGAAATAGTCGTCACTTTCTAGAGTTCTCTTCAGGATTTTAGGCCCCTGGTTTTTTGTTGATACTAGGGGTAGGTTGATATTAGTGGAAGGGAAATTACCATAGCATGGACGTAAAGAACATGAATGGTTCTCCAGCAGTATTTCAAGTTCCTTATAGCAGCTTTCAATATACCATATCCAGTGCGTGTTTTCCTCTGAGGGTCACCCTGAAATGGATTGCCGCTGCTGATCGCAGTCATGGTCTACTGTTCTTGAATTGAGGAACCAGCATATGCCTCGGGTTTGTAAGGCGCCCTCTCTTGAGAAAGCGTTCAATCCTTAAGGATCCAAATTGCCCAGTTATTTGTTGTATACTCGGATCCCTAGTGAACCTCTTCTGCCCAGGCAGCAGCGGAAGGCCAAACCTACACCAGCGAAAGTCCTGTCAAAGCTTTGGAGCGGCTCTGAGAAGGACAGCGCTGCCTTCGGATGGTCCCATAAACTTGTCCCCAAGTACGAAATGGGCCCAATCGTAGCCGAAAGTTGTGAAGCAGGTTTTTACTTTATGACGCTGGGCTGTCTGATGCTAGCGGGAAGGAGGTAGTTCCTTGCATACTGCACGTGGAACCGCCCCCCGCTCAGTACGCTCAAAGCATTGTGAAGCTTGAGGTTGGTGTTTCTCAAAATGATTTCAGATGATCCGCAAAAAAAAGTCACGAGAATCCCGTACGATGGCCACGTATCGCTGGAGGTCCCACGGCCCCACGG